AGATGAGTCTCACTCTGTTGCCCAGGCTGGAGTGCAGTGGCACAATTTCAGCTCACTGCAACCTTTGCCTCCCAGGTTCAAGTGATTCGCCTGCCTCACCCTCCTGAGTAGCTGGGATTACAGGCACGTGCCACCACACCACACCCAGCTAATTTTTGTATTTTTAGTACAGACAGGATTTCACCATGTTGGTCAGGCTGGTCTTGAACTGCTGACCTCAGGATCTGCCCACCTTGGCTTCCCAAAGTGCTGGGATTACATATATGAGCCACTGAGCGCAGCCTAATTTTTGTGTTTTTATTATTTTTTATTTTGTTCGAGATGGAGTTTTGCTCTGTTGCTCAGGCTGGAGTGCAGTGGTACAATTTCAGTTCACTGCAACCTCTGCCTCCTAGGTTTACAGGTGCATGCAACCACACCTGGCTAATTTTTGTATGTTTTGTAGAGACAGGGTTTCACCAGACTGGTCTTTCAACTCCTGACCTCAGGTGATCTGGCCTGTCTCGGCCTCCCAAAGTGCTGGGATTACAGGTGTGCATAATTTTTCTATTTTTAGAAGAGATGGGGTTTTGCCATGTTGGCCAGGCTGGTCTCAAAATCCTGACCTCTGGTAATCCTCCCACCTCGGGCCCCCCAAAGGGCTGGGATTACAGGCGTGAGCCACCCTGCCCAGCCCCACCCCAATTATTTTTCTCTGCCATTATTTATGCTTCTTTTTTTCCCCCTTGAGACAGGGTTTCACTCTTGTTGCCCAGGCTGGCATGCAGGGTTGTGATCTCAACTCACTGCAACCTCCACCTCCCAAGTTCAAGTGATGATTCTCCTGCCTCAACCGCCCGAGTAGCTGGGACTACAAGTGCCCACCAGCACACCTGGGTAATTTTTGCATTTTTTATAGACAGAGTTTTGCTATGTTGGCCAGACTGGTCTCAAACTCCTGAGCTCAAGTGATCAGCCCAGCTTGGCCTCCCAAGCTGAGAGGATTACAGGCATGAGTCACCAGGTCTGGCCTCATCCTTCCTTTAAAATAACAAAACAGCGGGGAAACACATTACCCTATTTTTCGTCCAGCTAATTTTCTTTCTCCTTTAGTTTCCACATACAGCATTGAATCTAGCTAATTATATATCTTATTGTCTTATTAATATCTGAGACAGTCTTGCTGTTGCACAGACTGGAGTGCAGTGGAGCAATCTAGGCTAACTGCAGCCTCTTGGGTTCAAGCGATTCTCCTGCCTCAGCCTCCAGAGTAGCTGGGACTACAGGTACACACAACCACACCCAGATACTTTTTTTATAGAGATGGAGGTTTTTTTGTTTTTTAAGACAGAGTCTCGCTCTTGTCGCCCAGGCTGGAGTGCAATAGTGTGATTTTGGTTCACTGCAACCACCACCTCCAGGGTTCAAGCAATTCTTGTCGCAGCCACCTAAGTAGCTGGGATTACAGGCATCCACCACCATGCCCAGCTAATTTTTGTATTTTTAGTAGAGACAGCGTTTCACCATGTTGGCCAGACTGGTCACAAACTCCTCACCTCAAGTGATCAGCCCACCTTGGCCTCCCAAAGAGCTGGGATTACAGGCATGAGCCACCACGCTTGGGTGACAAAGGAAATTATTTAGTGAAATGTAAACATCAAGCTTTTAATCCAAGTAAAAAAAAAAATTCTCCAAAGAATAAAGTATGAGGTGGGATGCAGTGGCTCACACTTGTAATTGCAGCCCTTTGGAGGCCAAGCCAGGAGGATTCAAGGTTACAGTGAGGTATGATTGTGTCACTGCACACTCCAGCCTGAGTGACAGAGCAAGACTGTCTCAAAAGATAATTCAAAATATCAGTGATTAGGGATACTATATAAAGACATAAAAGGTGGGCCTAGGGACTTGTCACACTAAAGCTGACTTGAAATTGACCAACTCAGAGATGATATGGTCTCTTTAAAACTAGAGATTTAATACTTTTATTTATTTATTTATTTATTTTTTATAAAGACGGTGTTTTATCATGTTGGTCAGGCTGGTCTTGAACTCCCGACCTGAGGTGATCCACCCGCCTTGGCCTCCAAAGTGCTTGGATTACAGGCGTGAGCCACCATGCCCAGCTGAGATTTAATACTTTTAAAACCAAGAGTGGTTTTGTCTAGACAGGACACTGGTTCTCAATCTTGAGTGTACCTTGTGCTCTCCTGGGAGCTTCACAGCTCTGATGCCTCGAGTCCTGTTCTGCACTCTGACTTAATTGGTTTGGGGTATGGACCGGAAACATTTTCTTTTCTTTTTTTTTTTTTTGAGACGGAGTTTTTGCTCTTGTTACCCAGGCTGGAGTGCAATGGTGCGATCTTGGCTCACCGCAACCTCTGCCTCCCAGGTTCAAGCAATTCTCCTGCCTCAGCCTCCCGAGTAGCTGGGACTACAGGTGTGTCACACCACGCCCAGCTAATTTTGTTTTCAGTAGACACTGGGTTTCTCCATGTTGGTCAGGCTGGTCTCGAAATCCCGACCTCAGGTGATCCACCCACCTTGGCCTCCCAAAGTGCTGGGATTACAAGCGTGAGCCACCGCACCTGGCCTGAAATCAACTCTTACAAAGTTTAGAAAGAAATGCTAACAACCAGCCAGGAGCAGTGGCTCATGCCTGTAATCCCAGCACTTTGGGAGGCCAAGGTGGGTGGATCACGAGGCCAGGAGTTCGAGACCACCCTGGCCAACATGGTGAAACCCTGTCTCTAAAAATATAAATCACACCATCATCCTGTCAAAACATTTTCATAGCAAAATACCTAAAGGTACCATTAACTTAATCATCTTCCATTGTGACAGTAAACCTACATGCAATTACTGTTTTACAAATACTCAGTTCACTCAAAACCTGTAACTACTAACCTGTGCATATACAAACAGACTCCAGCTCACATCAGTCCTCAAAAGCCAGGTCTGTGTCCAGCATCCAACTATAAACTCTATCTTAATGCCTTTTTTTTTTTTTTTGAGGGTCTTGCTCTGTCACACAGGCTGGAATGCAGCGGTGCGAGCTTGGCTCACTGCAACCTTTGCCTCCCAGGTTCAAGCGATTCTGCTGCCTCAACCTCCTGAGTAGCCGGGATTACAGGCATGGGCCACCATGCCTGGCTAAGTTTTACATTTTTAGTAAAGATGGCGTTTCACCACGTTGGTCAGGCTGGTCTCAAAACTCTTGACCTCATGATCTGCCTGCCTTAGCCTCCCAAAGTGTTGGTATTACAGGAGTGAGCCACTGCACCTGGCCACTTCAATGTTTTTCTCACTGTAGGAGAGGCTACCTTGGATAGCCTGTCACTAGTATCTACTATCTGCAATTTATTTTTGGGACTCAAAACCCAAATAATCCTTTTTGAAGTGAAAATTATAAATACAGCAACTGGAAAATGCCAAAAGTCTGCACTCACAAAACAGCAAGGACTGCCTTTTTTTTTTTTTTCCCTGTAAAACATGCCCAGAGAAAGTTTCCATTTCACCAAAGCAATGGTCAGGGGTCAGGGGATGTCAAAACAGTGTAGAGGCCAGGGTGGGCAGATCACTTGAGTCCAGCCTGCCCAACATGGTGAAATCCCGAAATACAAAAATCAGCCAGGCATGGTGGCAGGTGCCTGCAACTCCAGCTACTTGGGAGGCTGAGGCAGGAGAATCGCTTAAACCTTGGAAGTGGAGGGTGCATCGAGCAAGATCTCACCACTGTACTCCAGCCTGGGTGACAGAGTGAGACTGTCTTAAAAACTTAAAAAAAAAAAAAGAGAGAGAGAATCTAGAAGTGGACAGGGAGGCAAGCACTGCAAACAAATACTTTTTAATGGTTTTAAAGTTTTTTATTTTTTACAAATATACTGGAGAATCATGCAATGCTGCCAGCATTGGATGCAATCCGGGGCCACAGGTCTGCACACTCCTTTGCTACTGGTCCTGTAATGGCAGAACCTGCATTAAAAAAAAGCATGTGGGGACAGGTTAAGGTACAAACACAGGGTCCTTGGCCTGTACTTCTAGACAATCCACCCAACCTCAGAGACCTGAGGAACAAGCTGGACTGATTTCCTACCTTTCATCTCGCCTTTATTGTTCACTATGACCCCTGCATTATCTTCAAAATAAAGAAACACGCCATCTTTTCTCCGGTATGACTTTCGCTGTCGAATGACCACTGCTGGATGTACTGAGAGAAGAAAAAAGGAAAGCAGTCATTAACCCATCAAGTCCCAGGGCCACCACAAAAGCAGTTTCCAACCAGACAGAATGTATACTCAGCATTTCACTGAGACAGTGCAAGACAGTGTAAATATCAATCTTTTAGGTGATCCTCCCACTTCAGCCTCTCTAGTGCTGGGACTATAGGTGCACACCACCATGCCCAGATAATTTTTGTTTCTGGCTTTTTCCCATAGAGACAGGCTTTCACCATGTTAGCCAGGCTGGCCTCCCGAAGTGCTAAGAGTATAAGCATGAGCCACCAAAGCCAGCCCCTATTCACGTATTAAAAATCAAAGCTGCCAGTATTTTCTTGCAAGTGTGAAACTCTTAGGAAGACAATTATCCTTGCCTATGCCTTTTCCAACTTCACCCCACAGGTGGGTTATTAAGATCCCAGGATCACTGAATTGGGATGTAGAAATGGGACCTGGGACCCCCAACCCCTCCCAGTCCTGGTAATGAGCAGAGAGGTCAAGCTATTCACACAGAAATCTGGAAAACAGTTTGAATTTCCAGGCCCAAGCACCAGGCTTTATGTTTTACTTTTTTTTTTTTGGATAATGAGTCCTGCCTAAGCAGGACATCAAAAAATTCAGTTAAAAACTCATAATTGTTCCTCTCCACGGAAATCTTTAGTAAAAAGCGAAAGATTTGTTATGAAGAGAAACCAGAGCATTATGTTTTACTTTTAATGAATTGTTTTCCAGTGTTATAAGTAACTTTTACACCTATCTGAACTAAGATGATAAAGATGCTTTTCTCAACTTTTGAAATGAAATATCACTACATAATGAAATATAATGCTTGTGAAGAACTATTTTAGAGTCAGGCATATCTGCATTCAAATTTTGACTGATACTAGCTTGGAGACCTTGAGCAAGTTACTTACACAGAATTTTTATAAAGACAGGAAGAATGACCTTCCTTGAAACAAGTACGACAAAAAATAGATTAAGTCTGGCCAGGCACAGTGGCTCATGCCTGCAATCCAGCACTTGGGAGGCGGAGGTGGGCGGATCACAAGGTTAGGAGACCAACCTGGCCAACATGGTGAAATTCCATCTCTAACAAAATTACAAAAATTAGCCAGGAGTGGTGGTTGAGCACCTATAATCCCAGCTACTCAGGAGGCTGAGGCAGGAGAATCGCCTGAACACGAGAGGCAGAGGTTGCAGTGAGCTGAGATCACGCCATTGCAATCCATCCTGGGCAACACAGCAAGACTCTGTCTCAAAAAAAAAAAAAAGTAAGTCTAACCAGGTTAGTAACGGGACACACATGATGTAGCCAGTATTTACTGATCCTCCTCTACTTATAAACCATTTATTCCTCAAAAATTCATCAAGTAGATAAACAGTCCTGGCCTCTTTGCACATTTCTATACTTGTTATTTACAGATATTAAGTTCCGAGGGGAGGGGATGTATTCACTTAGCAGAAAAAAGGACCAAAAAAGACATTAACCGGAACTGGAAACTCACAACTAGTTTTAAAACAGAAGTTGGGCATGGTGGCTCACGCCTGTAATCTCAGCACTTTGGGAGTTGGAGACCAGGCTGGCCACATAATGAAACCCCATCTCTACTAAGAAAAATAGAAACAATTAGCCAGGTGTGATGGTGTGTGCCTGTAATCCCAGCTTCTCGGGAGGCTGAGGCAGGAGAATTTCCTGAAGCCAAGAGGCAGAGGCTGCAGTGAGCCGCGATCGCACCACTGCACTCCAGCCTTGGTGAAACTGTCTCGAAACAGAAAAAAAAAAACCACTGAAGTGTTTGGAGCTCTGGTCTGTTCCACCACTGAGACCAACAATCCACCGTCCTGCCATCTCATGCACAAAGTGATGGCCATTTGCTCTACTCTTCTCTGACAGCTTCCTGGGCCACCCATCAGACCCAGGAAGTATTCTGAGAAGAGAAAAAAGCACAATTGCTGAATCACAATTACAGTGCTACCAAGCCCTCATTAATGGTGAACAGAAAAAGATCTCTTTTCTCTCCGCCTCCCCCTCCTTTTTTTTTTTTTGGAGAAGATGTCTCGCTCTGTTGCCCAGGCTGGAGTGCTGTGGCACGGTCTCGGCTCATGGCAACCTCTGCTCCTGGGTTCAAGCGATTCTCCTGGCTTAGCCTCCTGAGTAGCCGGGAGGCGCCTTCCACCATGTCCAGCTAATTTTTTGTATTTTTAGTAGAAACAAGGTTTCACCATGTTGGCCAGGCTGGTCTCGAACTCCTGACCTCATGGATCCACTTGCCTTGGCCTCCCAAAGCACTGGGATTAGAGAGCCACTATGCCAGGCCACAAAAAAAGATTTCCAACCCAAGGGCTAAAAAAATCTACTGGGGAGCATAGTGGGGTGGAGTAAGTGTATTACAAGGCTGGCAAGTCAACATCATATTTGTAAATCAAGGAACGGCCAGGAAATCTTTAGAAAAGCAAGACATCCCAGTGTAGAGACAAACTAATGAGGCACAGGGAAAAATTTCAAGAGCTGAAATTAAAACGCATCAAATACCAGCAGTTCTAAAGCCAGACAGGACACAAGCTGCAAATATGGAAGTGACAAGATAATGGTCCCTCCAACACAGTCTGAGCAAAAACTTATTTATTCTCACACTGCCTCTCCATGGAAAACAAACTTGGAAACGGACCCTTTTTCCAATAAAGGAAGAGTCCTCCCACTACCCATCTGTATTGAGGACTCAATGTTTACTCACCCTTTTTTCTGAGCTCTGGTTTGCCTTTCTTGACTGTGGCCATCACCATGTCACCGACACCAGCAGCGGGAAGTCTGTTCAGCCGTCCCTTGATC